AATTTTAATTAATTTTTTATACTCACCAGCAGAATTCGTAAGATTCCATCCGATGCTGAAGGGATGATTCGTAACTAGCTCCCTTAAGCCGATATTAGATCAGAGATTGAAATTAAGATTAGATTGAGATTCGATAAAAAAAAAGAAGATCAATCTCAAATTCAATAAACTTTATCCGGATTGATTAAATCTAATCTAATCTCAATCTTTAGTTTGATACAGATATTTTACGCGTCCTCCAATTTGAGAAACACACGAACTCCCGGTGCTCCTAGCAATAAGTTTTTATAACGATAATCAACACACGCGTCACTGTATAGTACGTATTTACAACGTTATCTCCTGTACATAATCGTGCACGACGTGTAACAATACACACGTTTCCGATCGAACAGATCGGAGAGAAAAAAATACAATTCCCTTTTGCAAAAGGACAGAATCGTGCAAGTCCGCGACAATTACCAATATCAATCTCGATCGAGAATAGTAGACGCGCGCGATCGATAATCGATAATCGATAGTATCGATAATCGCGATACGAATGATTGCCGCCGAGTTCAAAACGGTTCCCACGCCCGTCTCGTAAGTCACGCGAGTCGCGAAATAACTATTAGAAAAAAAGGCGAGACCCTGTATGCGAATTACCACGGGAAAGAAAACTGTTATTGTTATAATGATGAAATAAAACCGTATGGCGAACAAACCTTGCGAGGCTTCCTTTTTCATTCTCCTCTGAAAATTAAATTTGATTTTCAATTAATTCAACTCGCGTATTTCCAATTTTGCAATTGTTGAATGAAGCATTAATTTTAATTTACTTTAATTTGAATTTAATTTAATGTGCAATTAATTCAATATGAAATTATTATTTTATTATCAAAATATTATCGAATAATTTGGACCCGATAAGGATACTTGGCGCAAGCTTGTAACTTTTTGAAGCAGCTAATTGACATTAATGAACCTAGGACGAAGAAGGTCAATCGGCTTGAGGTCGCGATTCGTTCGTAAGGCAAAGCGAATCACAGCATTCGGAACATTCGCTGGTTTCGAACGTAAAAATGGCGCATATGATAAGATCCAAGTTTGTCCTTATGTCATTGAAGTACGCTAATCGTGTTGCGCCTCGCATTTCCGTGCCCTTAAAATTTCAACGATTATGCTTCCACACCAGCGGGATTCTCGATGGTATGATATTTATTCAGAAACGACGATTTTTCCTTCATGTCAATCGATTTGGAGGTTACCTCTCGTAAAGTAGAAAATTCCTTAGGAAATGAATATCTGCGAGTGATAGTTGACATAATGTTCATAATGTTCACAAATGAATGTTGAACAAAAAATGTTGATCACAAAGCCAATTCCCGCGATCGTACATAGAAATTTTCGCTACGCTCGATAAATAAATTTTTCGCGTTTTGATTATGCAACAGATTTTTCTGATTTTCACATGATACCACGAATATCTATTGTTCAACATTTACAAGATTTTCTTCAATATAATTCGATTTTTCTTTTCAGTAATTTTCTTGTTTAAATTTTACCCCAAGAAAGAAAACTGACATATTTTACTCTGTTGCAATATTCAAATTTCCTACAAATTTATAAGCTAATGAAAGTCTTAATTTATAAAATAAAGATGATAAATGAAAACATTTGCTTTGCAGTGAAGGGAAAAGAGTTGTTGATGCCGTCTTTATCACCCACCATGGAAAGCGGCACCATAGTAAAGTGGTTCAAAAAGGAAGGTGACCAGATTAATCCTGGTGATGCTATTGCAGATATCCAGACTGATAAAGCTGTTGTCACAATGGAATTTGATGATGAAGGTGTACTAGCAAAAATAATTGTAAGTAATTGAATATGTATAATGATAAATCAATTAAATCAGCCTTCATGTAAATTATATGAAATATGTTGATTAGGTACCTGAGGGAACAAAAGATATTAAAGTAGGAACCTTAATAGCTCTTACTGTTGAGGCTGATGAAGACTGGAAAACAGTAGAAATGCCAGATGGTTCGACGCAAGTTTCTCCAGCAGCATCAACTTGCACTGAATCAAGTGCACCTGCCTCTGCTGAACCAAAAACAGCTGAACCACCACCAGGCCAGTATGATCCTTTAATGAACACACTAGGTCATAATTTGCTTTAAAATAGTTGAAATAATGCTTAAGCATTTTGCAAGCTTGGAAATCTACAATTACGTTATTAAGAATTGCTTCCAAATAATTTATTGATAATTTTCAGACAAAACATTGCTATGCCTGCTCTGTCGCCGACTATGACATCGGGAACGATTGTAAAGTGGCTAAAGCAGGAAGGTGATGAAGTACAACCGGGTGATGCATTAGCAGATATACAAACAGATAAAGCTGTTATGAGCTTTGAATTAGAGGAGGAAGGCGTACTCGCAAAAATTCTTGTACATATTTAATTATTAATGATGAAGTTTTATATACAATAGATTATGTGACTTTCTTAATTAACAAATATTACCGTTTATATTAGGTTCCAGAAGGATCTCAGGTAGAAGTAGGACAATTAATAGCTGTCATGGTTGAAAAAGGAATGGATTGGAAACAAGCTATTGTCCCAGTGTCGACCAAGTCTGCAGCACTTACGGCATCAAGTCCTACTCAACCGAGTGCACCAGCTGATGTAAAACCATCATTAAGTGAGCAGTATGTACTAATTCTTTTAATGATTTATATATCTTTAATTTTCTTCATCCATAATTTTCAAATTTAGTATAAAATTAAATATATACATTAATTGATATCTTTCATACAGAATATATGGTTTGGCTGTAAAAAGATTATTGGAAGAATATGGCCTGAGCTCTGATTCCATCAAGGGCACTGGACGTACAAATCGTTTATTGAAGAGTGATGTCCTAGCATATATTCAGACGCATAACATTAAAAAAATTGCACCTAAAACTGGTAAATATAACACTAGAATAATAATATTCTTAAAGTAGCTTTTTCTTAATAAGCTTAATATTTTTTTAATGTTTTGTAATATTTCTTTTTCTGTAGCACCGGCTCCAAAAACTGCAGAAGCTCCTAGTTTGACAAAGGCATCTGTCCCGACTGATAAGCCGACTGCATATGAAGATATCGAAATATCCAATATTCGTGCGGTTATTGCTAAACGACTTGGAGAATCAAAAGTATAATATTACGTAAACGTATAATATTTTTAATGAAACTTCATTTATTTTTACTAAATATAATCTAATTTATTATCTAATATATATTATATAATCTAATAATCTAATTTATTTTTTCCAGAGGACTATACCACATTCTTACGCTACTATAGACATAAATATTGACAAATTAATTGAGCTCCGCAAAAAATTAAAAACGGAGAATATAAACGTATCACTTAATGACTTTATTACTAAAGCTGTCGCTCATGCGCTTATCGAGTGTCCGGATATAAATGTATTGTATCAAAATGAACAAGTTAGTATCATTAATTTAGTATTATATTAGAATATATGCAAATATTAATAATCATTAATTGCTGTTAGATCGTTCGAGTTCCAAAGGTGGATGTGTCTATAGCAGTTGCGACAAAAACAGGTCTGATTACTCCAATAGTATTTGACACCGCCACTAAGAGCTTAGTAGATATTTCTAAAAACATTCGAGAATTAGCAGAAAAGGCAAAAGAAGGGCGGCTTAAACCGCAAGAGTTTCAAGGAGGAACATTTACGTAAGCCTTAACTAATATAGACGAAAGATATTGTATACACACATACATATATTAATATATGCAAAATTTATCATGCAGGATTTCAAATTTGGGAATGTTTGGTATTAAGGAATTTTCTGCCATTATAAATCCTCCACAAACTGCCATTCTTGCTGTAGGCTCGGGACGAGAAGAGCTGGGTAACTGTTTGCTATAATATCTAATTATTTTCAACCTGCAACTAATAATATTTTTACAATATTTTACAGACTTATCATTAATGAAAGTAACGAAAATGACAGTACAACTATCATATGACAGACGGGCAATCGATGAAGATCAAGCAGCAGATTTTTTGGCTGTTCTCAAAACAATGCTGGAAGATCCCGCTTTTCTCGCAGCTGGCAGGATGCAAGCACTAAGGTATAAACGTGATGCTTATTAATCGCTTTTTTTGAACCTATCCTGTCTAAAGTGTTTATTACAAAAACAGCGCTCAAAAGAATTAAATAAATTATGTAATTATGTTAACTCTGCTAAAAAAATGTGTTGGAAAAAGTAGTTAATTAATCAACTCATATAATAGTATAATGTACATTAACATTGGCTGTTTTTGAAATAAACAAAAGAATTTAATGATTAATATCAATCCTATCTTTCGTGCCATACGTATTATTAAAGCGCAAATTACATACTTACATGAAAATAACGCTGTTTATCGTTATCAAAAACTTTGACCAAAGAAGATATAATTTATATATTTATACTGCCAAAATGATATTTTTTAAACTAATATTGTGGACAATATTATAAATATTCTATTTGTAAGTTAATTGATCAAACTAAGTGAAACTTTTAAATCTGTTAATCTGATTTTTAAAATATTTTTTATTATTTTAACACAATTTATGTCAAAAATATTTTTAGATTAATCAAATTAATTATTAATTGAATTAATGATTAATTCCCATAAAAAATTAACTGATGGGAAAAGACAACGTCCATTATTCTGTATTTAGAATCTTGTAAATAATTAGAATACTCTTAAATAAGTTTTCTTTTGTAAATATCTGCAAATTATTGGTTCTATGATGGAAATCATATAAATGTACATCTAATTGTGAGTCAAAGTGAATAGCATATAAATATCTTTATTCATAATCATCTCTCATAATCATTCATAATCATATCTCAAATGTTCAAAGACATAAATTTGTTTTAGGGAAATCTAGAAATTTTTGAATATAATTAATACTTTTAATTCATTAATTGAAAATATGTATAAATATATAACTCATTTGTATATATAAGCTTATAAATTAAATAGGATTAATGGGATGATTTAACGAATGAAGAGAATTTATCTTGTGAATAAAATATTTATTATTTAGAATACGTGATATCCTACGAATGTGTCAGTGTTTCGAGTTTTTCCACCTCTGTCCAATATACAAAATAATATATTATATTTTGTGGGATTCTTAAAATCATCTTATATATAATAATATTTTTAGAAAACATAAATCGATATTTTGTACAAATATTTGATTTTCACTATAATCATAACATCACACATTATTAATATCCCTTGATATTTCTGTAGCTGTTAAAATGTATATTTAAAATAAGGCACACACATTAGAATACTCTGTGATAAGCGTTTTTAATATTTTGCTTTAATATTTTAATATCTTTTAATTATCTTTTTGAAATTTTTTTCAATATATCTTATCAAAATTAGTAGAACATGCAAATAATAATATATTTTTTATTGCAAGTCGTGCGAACAATTATAAATATATATTTGTTAGCACATAATTACTATTACTTAAAAATTGAATGATAACACTTGTGCAGTTTATATTACAACATATAATTATACTTTGAATTATTGATATTTGTTATTGTCGGTATAAGATAATTTATTGTAGTATAAGTGGTAAAATGCAAAAATTTATATTTTATAGAAATATTATTTAATTTTCGTTTATCACAGTCGTGATTCTATCATATATACTCGATATTATTGAAATCATCTTAAATATCTAGATATTCACTTTTTACAGTAATCCCATCATATTACAAGTTTATGTATTATAAACATTATTGAATATCAATTTATATACATATATATCAATTATTTAACAAACTATATGAATATTATGTTTGAACAATATTGAGCTCTTAGATAAAATATAAAAGTTTTCTAAAAGATATGTTTTATAAAAGTAAGAATAAAAGTTTTACAAAACTGTATGTGCATTCGGTATGTATATGTGTATCTTGATAATTTTATAAAAATGCATTACACGGTGGTTATTATGTTACATGTTTTATAACAATTAATTTTAACATATTATTTCATGATAACAGACAGTGCTGCTCAATTTTATATATACAAAATAAATAAAATTATTGTATATATAACTAATGATAATTTTTTAATGTTTAATTTATTTTATAAAATCTAATCTTGTAAATTATAAATTATATTATCAAATTAATTTCAGCTTTATCTATCTTGCTTTCCTGGAAAAAGAGTTTGAAATTTGTGATAGGCTTTCATCGATTGTTATCAGAAATTACATAACTGATTCTGTTATTGTCTTTCTTATATTTTGATGTTTCTGCATAATGATCTAAGTACACTTTTTAAGAAAAATATGTACGAAATTTTGTATTACGATTTATTTATAACCGGTATTAAAAAATACGAAATATCTCATATTTATATGTCGCTCATACATTCTTCAAAAAAGCATATAAAAATGTATTCTGTATTCATGATTACTTACAGCTAAAATATTCCGTTTATTGTTTTGATAAATACTGAACTTGTTTGGCAAAATGCGCATTAATATAATACCATTGAGCGGAAATACCTGAGTGAAACTGTAATTTATCATAAATTATATTGCACATAACAAGTGCACATAACAATTGCAAAGTGGATGGTCCTCTTATTTTTAGAAATTGACAAATTTGCTTAAATATTTTCACAATAATTCTACAATATCATTCTGCAAAAATAATAATAATCATGAGATTATTAAATAGATTAAAAATAACTACTTGCATCCTTTTGGAACACACTGACGTTCGAATAAAATAATGTTAAAATGACTATCAAGTGCACTATGCTTTAGTTTTATTAAACCAGCATAGCGGAATAAAAACGAAGGGCAGTCAAATGAGGTGAGAAAACTAAATGCAGTAGTAATTATGAAATATTATTCTGAGGATATCTTTCGAGGCTTCCAGTTGTGAAATAATCTTCCTTCAATGCGATATATATGAACAGAATGAAATATCATGGATGTTACCATCATGGATGTAAAACTCTAGAAATATTTAATGAAACGCTTTTTGAAGGATTCTTTGTGCCGCACGAATCAGTGGAGTGAGTGTCGATAATTCCGCGCAATTTTCTAGGAACGAATGAGAGAGCAACTCATCGGCGGTTGCTCTCTCATCGACTTCTACAGCGAGGCATCTCTCCAAGAAATTTTGGAACGTTGGACTGAGGCTCTCCCACCTCGGAATGGAAGGTCTACCAATTGCAGCAATTAAATATAATGCTCTCAATGGTGTTTCTTTCATGTAAGGCGGTTCTCCTTCTATCATTTCAATGGCCATTATACCTAGCGACCAGATGTCCACTTTCTTGCCGTATTGTTTTCTCGTTACTACTTCCGGCGCCATCCAGTATGGAGTGCCGACCATAGTCTGTCGTTTCTCGTCACCGTCGATATTCGCGCAAAAACCAAAATCCGTAACCTTCACCGCACCGTTCATCCCCAGGAGCACATTGTCCGACTTAATGTCTCTATGAATAATGCCTCTAGTGTGCAGGAAGCTTATCGCTTTGAGGACCTCTCTGCAGACAGCCGCAATTTGGATCTCCTTCATCACAGTCTCGGTGACTACGTCCGTCAGCGGTCCACCCTCCAGCAGCTCCATAACTACCCAAAGGTGTTCGTCCACGAGGTAAGCGTCAAGGAAATTGACCAGATTCGGATGCTGAAACTCCTTGAGGATCTTAATCTCGGTTAATATTAATTCCTTCTTTGGTTGTTTCGACAAATCTATATCCTTTATGGCTACTTTCTGACTGTATTCAAGATCGGTGGCTATGAACACAGTTCCAGAGGCACCGGCGCCTACCTCTTTAGTTTTCTCAAAGCGCAAGTTAGGATCTCCCTGTTGGCAGATAGACCTGAGTTCCTCGTATACCTGTTCGTCACTGAGCTTTACGTCCGTACATTCTGTTTTTCGTCGCAGAATAGGACTCTCCTCTATCCTACGTGATGTAACATTTTCTTCTTCCTCCTCCTGTGGCAGTGGATCCTCATCCTCACCGTCACTGATCCGATATGTATTCAGATCCTCTAGTATCTCGGTCAGGGTCTTCTCCGCTCTGTCGCTACGTTTACGTGGCGCCGGTTTCGGCGGTTTTGGCGGTTTAGGTGGTTTCGGGGGCTTGTTCACTTTTGGCGGTAGCTCGGGTAATCTCCGTTCCCGTTCGTTCGTCGTGTTCTCGCGGGTCAGCCGATCGTCGGACCCGACATCCGACCGATACTTCTTCGTCAGGATGTTGTCGATCTCCTGCGACTCCTCCTCGATCAAGTCCTGCGTGACGAACGGTTTGAAGACTTCCTGATCCTGCGGCTTGCGCTTGATCGAGTAGTTGTAGAACTTGATGGCCTGCAACGCGGCGTCTGGGTGCTCGTCCTGCTCCGATTTGGAGATCTGCGTGTTGAGCAGGCGTATCCATGGGTCCGGCAGGCCCTCCAGCTGCCCGGTCTCCGCGTTCTTGCTCACGTGAAACTTGTGCGATACGTTAGTCGGCAGACCAATTTCCGCGGCCACGGTGTCAACGGGAGGAGTGCTCTTCTTCTTCGAGAAGAACTTCGTCAGGCTGAGGCTCATTCTCGCGCGCAATCTCGCGATCGCCGTTCACGTTGCCTTCGTCTGCCTCGCACGACCGCACGATTTTCGAGAAGAGAGACAGAGGGGGAAAAAAAAAAAAGAGAAATAAGCGGACCGCGGCTTCAGATATTCATGCTAATGTGATACGGATCCTCATCCGCCACGCCGATCACATCGTTGAGTCTCACGCCCGATTACACGCCGGTGGATGGATATCACCAGTATTACCAGCACGATAATCACACTGTGTCACCAGATGTTACGTGTCTAGTTAGAATCGCGAGAAATATCGATCACTCGCGCGCGAAGCAATTTTCATATTTTAAATAAACAGCTTACAGAGCTCTTCGTGGTGACAGCGCCATTAAAATGTTATTAAAAGTAGCTTTAGAGATAAATTTTTGCAACTGAATCTTTGCAACTGACAGATAAATTTATCTCTAAAGCTGTTTTTAAAAATATTCAAAATATAAAAACTGTTTTGCGTGCGGATAATTATTTCTTTCGCGATGCTAATTAGAGATATTACTGTTTATTTCATCCGTCAATAAATATCTGAATAATTAGCTTACAATGTAATAATAATCTTTTCAGAGATGAATAGTTGAGAGAAAGTAATGTAATTTTTTTATTTAGTTATATTTTATTATAACAAAATGTATTATTCTCTATGATTTTTATTTTTACTAATGTAGCATTATTTTATAGAATACTTTTAAAACAAATTAAATATTATTTTGGAAAATAATTTTTTATTGTAATATCATGTTGTAAGATTTCTTTTAATTAAATTAATATTGTTTTTCAAAACAATTTGCTTACAGCGAATACTTGACACCTTTATCTTATTAGAAAAATAATTTTTAATATAAAATTTAATACGATCATGATTCATATCATATTTATTAACATAACATCTTAATGTTCATATAATATTTTTTCATTTCACGCTCTCTTGATCTTTCTCGCTATGTATCGCAACATTAGTTAAAATGTAACTTGCATTCGCAGTTTATTTAAATTTATTATTCAAGGACAATATTTAATTTACAATAGGTATAAATCGTTGTCAGTATTTTTTAATATATATATATATATATATATATATATATATATATATATATATATATATATA